TGGGCGTCTCCTGAATACTGATGTGTATGTCCACTTAACAGAATTTTCTTTCCCTTAATTTTCAGACCATTTCCCATATAGCACAGTCTTTTGAATCCATGTTTCAATTGTGAATCTTTCTCTTAAAGTGATATTGGCTGGGATCCAAAATGATTTTAAAATGTCTTTTATTCATTCATTTATTAAAACATTTTAATTCTGTCCCAGGCACTTGTGAGGAAAAAAAAGTTTCTGTAACAATCACTGTTAACCTCTGTTGTTCTAAATGTTCTAAATGCATTATCATATTTAATTTTTACAACCCTATATAGTAAGCTCTCATCTCCATTTGACAAGTGTTGAAAACTGAAGCATAGTGAAGTTAGGTTACTTGCCAAAATTCATCCATACGTGAGAGATGGTTTGTGTCCTCCATATTCCTAATACCAGCAAGGGAAATGAAACATGGATAAACAACCGCAATGCAGGGTGGTGCCATGTGAATGTCATAAGCAGAGTTCAGGTGACAACTGGTCTAGGGTTCTGGAAGAGCAGTGGCCGTTTTCATCTGAAATTTTCATGGAGAAATCTGCACCCATATCTCCTCAAAAGGGATTTTACAGTATTTTTTCTGATTCAGGTCAGCCAAAGGATGAAGGGGGGACATTTCAGTAAACCCTGGAAGAGACGGGGACCTGAGATTTCCTTTTCTATTGAGGAAACAACAGTGAATTCTCTGCTGACAACTTGATGGTCTCCCTTGAAATTCCTTAGGGGAGATGGCATAGTGTCCGCAATCAGAATGTATGTGTATATAAAACAAGCCCCAAACTCAAATGTTGCCCATTCATGTACATTGAAGGAATTCAGTTGTCTTTATTTTTATTTTTTTGAGACAGGATCTCGCCCTGTCACCCAGGTTGGAGTGCAGTGGTCCAGTCATGACTCACTGTAACTTTGATCTCCTGGGCTCAAGCAATCTTCCCTCCTTAGCCTCTGGAACAGCTAGGACTACAGGCATGTACCACCACGCCCAGCTAATTTTTTTTTTTTTTCTTTTTTTTTAGAGCTGCGGTCTCGCTATGTTACCTAGGCTGGTCTTGAATTCCTAGACTCAAACAGTCCTCCCACCTGGCCGTCCCAAAGTGCTGGGATTACAGACGTGAACCACCATGCCTGACTAGTCTTTATTTTTTTTTCTCTCTTGTTTTTCTCCTTTCGTCTCCTTTCCTTTATTAGTGAGACTCAAATTAACTTTTCAAAAATCATAGGTGTTATTGTTTCTACACTAAATGTCACAGGGTACACTTAAACTCCACATTTTCCAGTTAAAGCATAGCTCACCGTTGGGCAGTGCAGGTTCAAATAAGGAGAAGAACAGCCTTGTCTTAGGCCTCTCCTGGCATCCAGTCTCTGTAAGTCCTTCCTTGCTAGCATTATGCAAACAGCATCTTAAAGGAGGCCACGAATGATTAGAAAACGTACCTGTGCTGTTAAAAATAGCTGCCCATTCCCTTCTGTAGTCAGCTGGTTGCTACTTTTGCCTCTTCCTGTCCAGTGTTCAAAACGTTCTGCTATTTTGTGATCATCTATGTTGATGGGAGAATAAGGAAAGATGAAGTGAATTAAATTGATTATTTGAGAGCCATTCCCCAAATCTTTAATTGGCCTTTTTTTTTTGTTGTTGTTTTTTTTTTTTTTTTTAGATATTAATTAAGAGCAAAAGTTTCTTACCTTGGTATTAGTGCCTCTGCCTCTCACCTCTGTCAGCTGCAGAGGATGAAAGGGTGCAGAGGGAGGGAGAGTGATGGGTAGCTGCGGGCATGCCTGACTCACAGACTGGATAATCAGCTCTGGAATAATTCTAGGTTGGCTGCATTTGTAGTGATTCTGGTCACAAATTGTGAAGAACAGCTTTTTCCCTTGTCCCCACCTTCATATTGTCAAATTATTGCTGTGCTAGCCCAATTAAAATGCTTGAGGATCCCCTCACTTGCATAGAGCCTTAGACCCTGGATGACTGTGGACTCACCGTGACAAGGCTCTGGGAGCACTGAATGACAGTGCTGAATGAAGGAGAAAAGTAAACAAGGCCTCTGTTGCCTAAATAGTTGTGCAATTAGCAGTACCAATGGGAACAGAGCTACTGATGAGTCTAGGCTGCTCATATTCATGGAATTTCTTTCAAGAGGAGCAGCTTAGAATGTTCTCTGAAGGTGACAGGCACTCTTTAAGAGGACCATTGGGCACTTAAGCCCCTTACTGACGTTGTAAAGAGTGCCCTCTTGGCAGCTAAATAGGCCTGAGGTGCTTAGTGCTCAGGACATAGAATTTGAGTCAACAAGTGGCTTCACATGTAAGTGGGAGTAAAACAACCCTTTCATACCACCTTCCTTCAGTGAGGATCCCATATCTTGACATAGTGTGACCTGTATCAGGACAGAGAATAGGACACTTCATGCTATTTAAAGTTGAAGCAGTACCTGTGGTGTGCCAGGCACTGTTTCAAACACACTATGTGTATTGACTCTTCTCTTTTTTTATTTTTTATTTTTTGAGATGTTGCCCAGGTGGGAGTGCAGTGGCGCATTCTCAGCTCACTGCAATCTCCGCCTCCCGGGATCAAGCGATTCTCCTGCCTCAGCCTGAGTAGCTAGGATTACAGGCGCACACCACCATGCCGGGCTAATTATTGTATTTTCAGTAGAGACAGGGTTTCACCATGTTGGTCAGGCTGGTCTCAAACTCCTGACCTCAAATGATCCACCCACCTTGGCGTCCCAAAGTGCAGGGATAACAGGTGTGAGGCACCATGCCCAGCCCTCTTGAACTCTCACAACAACCCTGTGAGATAAATATTATTATTAATTTGACTTTACATGTGTGATAACCAAGGGCTGAGAGATTAATTAGACTTGGCCAAGACCTAGTCTGTAGTAGAGCTGGGATTTTTAACCAAGAAGGGATGGCTCGAGAAACCTCACCCCTGGTCACTGTCCTGTCCTGCTCTGCACTTTTGGGATGTGTGTGGGAGGATGAGGATCATTATTCATGTTTTCTTAGAATCACAGGACCAAGGAACAAAGAGCCATGAGTTAAATATTTGTTGTTTCCTTAATATAGGGTAGGTGCTAGAAGGATACAAAAAACAACTGAGATGTTCTTATATTCAACAGATACAGAAAAATTTGTTTATGGAAGGCATGTATTCAAAAAGTGAATACATAGTATGAGGGTAGAACCAAATGAGTGCTTTGGAAGTTGAGAGAAAGAATACATTCCCTCTGTCAAAGGTCATCTTTTGAGAGGACCTTGTCACAGACTAGCCTTGAAGAACATGTCAGATTTAGACAGGTGGCTATTCTGGGTAGGTAGAGCTGGGAAAGCCTGAAAAATACATGATTGAGTGTGCAGTTACCACTTTAGCTTTTGTGAAAAAAGAAAATGGAACCCTGGGAACAAATTGAGGAAATGTAGTTCCAGATGAAGGACTGTGAGCTCCAGTGTTTAAATACTTGGAAGTAAGCGGGAGATATGATGTATTGGAAACCTAGAAATCTAGATGATGTAAGACCTTCTTGTCTTTCTTAGTAACTACTTCTGCATGCTAATAATGTTCCAGGTAGATACCTGTTAGGAAGTCTATTTGTCAAATAGGACAAACAGAAAAGACAAATAGGAGAGACTTTGTAAGAGAAGATTCACCTGGTCCCAGTGAATAGCAGGTATGAAAAAGAAGAGGTCAAGATGATTTGGATGACCAGGAGAATTATGAAATCCCATAACATCTCTGTTATATTGTCCTTGGCCAATGACTTTCGTGGTGAGAGTGATAAGCTCTTCCACCCCTTCTTACTCTGCACGACAAGTTAATTTTTAATAATAATGATATCCACCAATAAAGAGAGCAAATCCCCACGATCATCTTTCTAAAGACTAAAATACTCAATACCTGACACTTACAAGCATATTTATTCATCCATTCAACGCAATATTTAAGCATCTACTTATCTCCAGGCTCTATAGTAGGCACCAAGGAATGACACAATGCTAGACAAAGCATGGGCCAAAACTTTAAGGGGTTTTCTGGAGTCTAGTTATAGGGAGAGATAAATCAGTAGGTTATTTTAAAGTAGTTTGTTAAGTGTCATGATCAGTAACATGATCATATATCCCCCCTTGCCTGGGGTGGTCCCCACTTGTATGATAAATCCCATTACCCATTCAACTATAGGAAATAGGGTCAGTACATAAAGTGAGGGATTGTATAGGCAGGTGTTTAATAAGCTGTTTGAAGTGGGATCGTAAAGGGCTTTATGGGGAAAAAAGTCTCAACTGATACCCACAGGCTGAAGAGGGCAGGAGATGGCAGGGAGAGAAGCAGTGGTACAGAGCTAGAAAGGTGGACATTCCAGGCAGCATTTGTAGACTGAATGGATTAATTCGTGAACACATAAAACATTGTGAAAGGGAAATTCACAGAATATTTCCATTCCTAAGGATGCATCTATAGTCATTTGATGTATATGCATAGTATTTCTTTCTGGTCTGAGAAGGGAAATTTTATAACAAGTGGAATTGTACCCTAGATGATATATATAATGTCGTACAGCCTTAATATTATGCTTCATAAGATGCCATCCCAAGCAACTTGTTTGAGAATGAGAAATGGCCCTGATTCCTAAACCCCACCTGATCTGCCCCTTTCTCCCTAGTTAGCCACTTAATTATTTTTCAGTTATTCTATTCCAGTTTTATTTCGTAAATTTGATTGAAAGCTTCTTGACAGCAGAGACCATACCATTCTTTTGTATCTACCATTCTGTACATATTGGTTCATGGAGACTGGGAGTTTGGTAATGAGGAGGTAGAGGGATCCTTTTATTTTTGTTTTTGTCTTATTATTCCTATCCCCAAATTTAGCCTTCTAAGGCATTTTCATTTTGTGACTATAGATTTTCTGTTAATATTTAGTTTTTGAGCTTATTTTTTGATGGTCATCTTGCTTTCTTCTTATTTAGGACCTTCCGAGTTATTGGATATGGCAGACAGTGAAACGTGAGTGTTGTCTTTTATTACATAGTCTAAGTTATTTTCTTCAGAACATATCTGGGAGAAGAATGTAATCTATAGGGCATATTGTAGGTAATTTTAATTTAATTAATTCAAAGTCCACTTTCAACTTTGTTCATAACTGTGCAGGGCTAATTGCCTAAATAAAAAATTACACAATAGAAACTGATGACAATTGTCATAATGCTTGCCTCCATAGTCAGTGCTAATCATCATTTAGAGCTTGCTTCAAGCAATGTACTTCTGCACTGGTGCATCTTGGAATGCTGAGAAGTCTAAATAATTACACTTACCTTTTAATGTACCCATCACATTTGTTCTTTCTCAGCTGGAGTTTCTGAGAAAATGGGACCCTACTGCCCTGAGGCATTATGCACATGTAGTGACGTAACTTCTCTCTGTTAGTCTAGAACAGCACAAGTTATGAACCACCACTGAAGAACTAAGAACATAGTCACTCTATCTTCTGTCTTCTATGGTTCAGAGAAGGGATGCTGATTGAAAAAGTCATCAGCTCTGGGATGGTGTCTAAACTGATGATAATGTTTGTTTTCAACCTTATTTCTAAAGCAGCAAAATAGTTACTCCTCCCCAAACAGGAACAAAGTTAGGCTGTACAACTAATCCTGAAAGCCATATTTGAAAAGGTATAAAGATGAATTGGTGTGGAGAGGAATGAGGTGGTGAGTAGCTAAGCACGTGGGAAGGAGGAGAAGTAGAAATGAATAGAATGGAGGACGAATGAAAAGCAGTAGGGCTGTGGAAGAAGCTGTGTATCACTCTATAGAGCTGGTCCACATGCCAGCACATCCTATTTGCAAGATTGTAAGTGGTGCCATTACTTACCCCTTTTTGCCTTCTCTAAAGGCTGCTATTGATTTTTCCTGAAATACTTTGGCATTAAGCATCTTGGTGCCTTTGGGCTCAGGATAGGAATACCCTCCTCCCTATAGAGCCTGTCAGTGATGGGGAAATAGCCAGTTTCCCTTGCCCCTTCCCACACTGAGTGGCTGGCCTCAAGCCTGCTGCCTCCTGGGGAGAGCCCTGGCTCTCAAACTCTCCCAGAGTCTCACTGTGCCTCTCAGATATCCTCTGTGGCTGCCCGCTCCTTCCACCTGCCACTCACACAGAATCTAAAGTGGATAGAGCAGAGTGGGTGTTGGCCTGGCGTTTTGAACTTGGGTTCTCAGGAGATACTCCACTGTAGGCCGAGTGACCATCAACCAAGGGTCGTGTGCTGTGCCTGAAGGGCCAGAGACGCTCCACGCTGCTCCCTGTTCTTTCATCCAGTGCCTTTCTCACTCTACTCAAATGTATGCACAGAGAGAATGTCTTCAGTGTTCAGATACATCTGGACAATTAGTCTGTTTAATACTGCATTGACGATCACCTAAATCAAATGGTAGTGCTTCTTTAAAAAATTACTAAACCTAGTTAATCAGCACTGTTTGGAAAGGGGGCTGGAGTCAGATATTATGATCAGGTGATGACTAGCTCAAGGAATTTTTAGAAATCCCCTTTCCCACCTCCCCAGAATGTACCCTACAGCCAAGATCTCAGTAGCCTATAGGGAAGGAGGCTGAGGAGCACCCCGACATCAGCTCCCCTCACCCCATTCCCTGCTGCCTCCAACCCCTTTATGGGTGGTTTCCCATTTCCTCTTTGATTTAGGGGTGAGACTGCACTGCACAAGGCTGCCTGCCAGCGGAACCGGGCTGTGTGCCAGCTTCTGGTGGATGCAGGAGCATCTCTGAGAAAGACGGACTCCAAGGTAACTCGATGAGTGAGTGCAAACATCCTCCCACTGGGCGAGATCGCAGGCACTGTTGCCTTTGCTTGTGACCATAGCACGGACATCCTTTCTGTGCTTATGGAAGTGCCTGGGGCTTTGGAAAAAGGAGGAAAAAATAGAGTGCTTCATTTAGAGAAACTGTAATTTAAATGTATAAGCACAAAGGGAGGGCATGTGCTTGCCTATGGGGCTTTATAAACCTCTGAACACGTTGGCCTTGGGACATTGGGGTTGTCCTACTGAACGCTAGCAGCCAAGTCGTGGGAGTTGAGGTCTGAAGCCCAAGGAGAGAGGTCAGGACCATGTTCAAAGACTTTGGCCTGACTACTGAGAAGCCCCTTTGGGGTTTTCCTTCAGTACTTACTCCAGCGTGGTTTAAATTCTATGATTTATATGGCCCCTTATATGGGTGCCAAAGGGATTATTTCCCAGCTCCCAGGACGGTGGGCTCTGGCTTTGAGATGGTTACAGTCTTAAATCTGGTATGTTTATGTAGTTCTTCATTTAAAAAAATTTCTTTCCATTTGTTTTCTAATATTCTCTATAAGTTAACCTCAGAAATTAGATAGCATGGGAATTACTGTCATTTATAGCTATAGGAGCTAAAAGCCTAGAGAAAGTTACACATACCTTTGGACCAGTAGCTGAGCCTTAAACTAAATTGAGCTCTTTTGACGCCAGTCCAGTGTTGTTTCAGCAGGTTGGTGGTTCTCATTTGGTGTCAGAACACACTAGCCACATAACAAAATCGGTTTGTTTATGGAATCTGTTTGATTGAGGTACAGTGATTCCTGTGGCACTTGGCTAGAAATGTGGTTGGTTTCTCCCCAGCAACAGTTACGTAAATCTGAACTTCAGTGTCCACTTTCTTATAGCTGTCTTAATAAGAGGGCAGTGAGGCCAGAAATGGGTAATGTGACATGTGTGCCAACCTTGATAGCATCAGCTGGCAGAGATGAGGCCTCAGGGGAAATTCTGTTCAGAAGAACTGAGAACAGGCTGCACCACAAGTTGTTTCAGTTTACAGAGAGTACCCAAGAGAAAGGGTTGAAAGATGGAGGAAAGGAAGAGTTGTAGCTTAGTAGAGTTGACCCAGGGCTCAGCCTATAAGATAGAAGAGAGAGAGAGAGAGAGAGGAGTTAGTTTACATAGAAGATCAACCCCATAGAGCAGGGGTGTCCAGTCTTTTGACTTCCCTGGGCCACATTGGAAAAAGAAGAATTGTCTTGGGCCACGCATGAAATACACCAACACTAGCAATAGCTGATGAGCTGAAAAAAAATAAAAATTGCAAAAAAAATCTTGTGATGTTTCAGAAAGTTTACAAATTTGTGTTAAGCCTCATTCAAAGTCGTCGTGGGCCGCATATGGCTTGCAGGCTGCGGTTTGGACAAGCTTGCCGTAGAGGATTCTGATAAGCTCTGAGAGTTTTAGAACACTCTCAGTAGACTCCAGGAAATAATGAACCACTTAACTATAGAAACTGACAGAGAAGAATCTTAGTATATAGTTGAGGCCTTCATTACGCAGGTACCGAGTAGCTCAGGTTTTGGGCCCATGATTGTAACCATGACACATAGACAGATTACTTAGAAACCTAATTAATGGCTTAAGCTCTATTAGATTTATGTAAGTGATAAGAATCTGCCTATGTGCAATTTTTTCTCTGGGGCCTCCTCAATCTGCAGTTCACTTTATGAAATAACTTTGCCTCCCAAGTGAACCTCTTTCCTTTCTGAGCCAGTTGTATTGCATAGAAGTCTCTACTTCCCTGGCAGCCCATGAGCACCCTTGGTCTCTGACTGAAATCCCTGGCTGCCTAGGCATATCAAACACACTTGAGTTGTGTCCTGGTTTCTAGTGGGTCTAGCTACCCAGTTAGTGGCTAGCTAACTGGGTACACTATTTCAAATGGCAGATAATTAGGTTGTTGCAAAAGTTATTGCAGTTTTTGCTACTAAAAGTAATAATTTCTCAATGTGATATTCTTCCCAGATGTTATTTGCACTCAGATGTTTAGATGTTTAACCTGATTGAGAAATAGACGACTTGTAGTCAGGATTAATGGAGCCAGGTTATGGGGTAGGGTTGGTCTTGCCGGAGCCACTCAGACCACAGCAGGGCAACTGCCTCTTTACCACACAAAGGCTGGTCCTACACTCAACTCAGATCATTTTAAAGACAGAGAGAAGCCATGAAAAAGAAGGTCAGACTGAACAGGAGTCAGGAGACCTGGCTCTTGAGCAGGTCTTCTTTTTTATCTTTCTAAGTTTCTGAATCAGATAAAGCACTCAATGTTCATGGAAACTTGTTTCTATTTTGTGTTGTGTATATGTCTGTTTTCTTTTTTTTAAAGAAATAGCTTGTTTTTATAATTATAAACCCCTCACATAGAAAACTAGTAATGTAGGAAGATATGCTCCAAAAAGCCAAAAATTGCTGGAAACCCCACAACCTGGACCTAGATATAATTAAACTTTTAATGATCCCTCTTCACATGTAGATATGCCTGTTTTTCTCTCTCACTGTTTTTAACTACATGAAGTCATACATACATGATATCATACAACTTTTACTCAACGTTATATTCTAGAGATCTTACTACATGAAATAATGTAGCTATACTTCGTTACTTTTTGAGGATTTTTAAATTTTGCCATTCTGTAACTTGACGCCAGGTTGAAGTTGACTGTGATAATTACAACTGAAACTTCTCCTGGAATTTTTTGGAGAGAAGCAGCATCCTGAGAATTTCTCCTATTAGAGATCAGTTCCTTAGAAATCTACTCAAAGGCCCACCTCAGCCACCTCTCTGAATATTTGAAACCTGGAAATTCCAACCTCATTATTATGGAAGTAAAGACACGATTATCTACTAAGGCTGCAAACAAGTTTAATAAAAATTATCATAGGAACTTAAAACTGGTGGTTAACTGCTAAATCTCAAGTAAATAAGTAAAATTTTAGAAAGATTCTAGAGCCATTGTTACCTCCCTTTTATCCTATCCCCAGTAGGCTATGTAGAGCCAGTTGGATTGAGGTCACCTGTATCTGTGGGGATAGCTGAGATGAAAGCTGAGAAGTCTGTGTTAATATTTATAAAACTTGTATGCATTTGTACATGGAGCTATTTCTTTGGTGCAACGATCATGCCTCTACCCTTCCTTTGGAACTTAACATTTTAAATAACTAAAACTATATATTGAACAAAAATTAGAAATTTTGAGTGATGCTAAGTAATTCCTACAGGCGATCAAATGAATGGACACCCTTTCTCCCTTTACTGCTGACTTCTTATTCAATGACTTCTCATTAAAAAAATTTAATGACTCATTTAATGACTTCTCATTAAAAAAATCAATATATATACAAATGTGTGTGTATATGTGTCTATACAAATGTACAAAAGGCATTATAGTAGTCTGTAAGAAATTATATGACCATTTAAAATGTTGATGTAAAAAATTATTGACAAAAATTTATGATATATTACTAAGAAAGTTTGTAAAACAGTACATAAATGAATTGTGGTTTTTTTTTTTTAAATAAAAATATGCATAGAGGCGTATAAAAGACAAAAGCTAGTTATCAATGGAAGGTTAGTAGTGGTTTTCTTAGTTTGGTGGAATGATTAGGGATATTCCTTGTCTTCTTTGTGGTTTTCAAGTTTTCTAAGATTTCTTTAATCAATATCTACCTCTTTTGTATTGAGAAACCAGCTTAGTTTTCAGAGAGATGAAATAGCTATAAATTGGGGAGAACTTCACTGAAGTCTGAAACCAACAAAGAAACCTTTCAAATGTTTTATGACTATCCCTTCCTTTTAGTTTCTACATGTTCATTTCCCAAGTTTAGAATAATAGAAAGAGTCTTAAACTAGAAATCTAAATGCCTGTCTCCGTGTTTTAAATTCAGTAATTTCTATCTCCCTATCTTCCAGAAAGGCTCTGGGTTTCAAAACTCACTTTACCCCACTGTTTCCTCCTGTGTACCGTTAACCTCTGTGAACTTCTGTTTCCCTAGTATAAACCCCACCCATCAAAAGTGATAAACTCTTTCCCTTTAATTTACCAATCGCACATGTTCAATTTAATGCTCATATAAAACAACAGATTTGAAAGTGTCTTGTAAATTCTAAAACACCAAACGTGAAAGGATCCTTACTAGCAAGTATCTTTGGGTAGCTCTGTTTCTGTGGTTTTTGTTTTGTTTTGTTTTGTTTTTGTATTTCATAACTAGTACTTGTCTCTCTCTCTCTCTTTCTCTCTCTCTCTCTTTCCGTTATTTATGTATAGGGTAAGACACCTCAAGAGAGAGCACAGCAGGCTGGGGACCCAGACTTGGCTGCTTACCTAGAAAGCCGTCAGAACTATAAGGTCATTGGCCATGAGGACCTGGAAACTGCTGTTTGACCCTGGTATTCAGGCAAAGAGAACGTGAGCAAGCGTATCACATCTGCCCTCCCTGCGATCGGGCAGCTCCCCTGGAAGAAGCTGATGGAATTCATATATCTGTCTCTCTCCTGCAAGAATCTACCTGAGACCATGCCACTCGTTTTTAAGGGCTACCAAGATGTACAACAGAACATGATAGCCCATTGAGAAGGAGGCAGGATACCTGGAGATTTGTGGAATACAGTACGAGTTCCACAAAATTTGATCCTTATTGCTTCCAGCAAGTAGCATGAACTTCTGTGTTCACCTGTATAATTTATTTTAAAGATTCAAAGGATGTTCGTATAAACGGCACTGCTCCATCCTCCCCCATGCATTGATTTTTTTTTTCCCTGTACCATACAATTCTACTGTAACTACCCATTAACTTTAAAAAAATATATTATCTCTTCTCTTTACATTCAGTCTTGGAAGACCACAAGATTGTCTGAAGGCCTTCTAAAACCCTCTGAATGTCCTGCAGAAATATAACTGTAAAACCACTTCCATTTCCAAGACTAAATATATCAAGACTATTTAGTGACTCTCTCTGCATGTCCCCACCACCCCCCAACCCTCCGTTTCATTATATAGGAGCTGGGAAGTGCCACATGGATAATGTCAACTTGTGTGCTATATTTCTGAGGAATGGTGAGGTGGCATGGGAGATGTCTGTGCTTGGAGGTACCTCAGAGAGGTAACCCAGGGGTCAGCCCAGGCTGCTGGGCTGTAGCCAATAGCCATGCAGGACTGGTTCAGCTTGGGCTGTCTGTACAGCTCCGTACTGCCTATGTGTAGCCATCTTTGCCTTTTGCTGCAATAGAAGATGAGCAAAGGATTAAACAGAGACCCACAGCTAGTCTGCAGAACCACTCAATTTTAAGTGCTGTTTAAATTGCAGAGGAGATAATCATGTGTGGGAACTGTGGTTACGGGAAATGGAGCACTCTAACAATGTTTACTTCTAAACTTTGTTGAGTGATAATAGAAAGCACCCTAATTGACTTGAAAAAAACAAAAGCAAAAGCAAAAGTAGCAACATATGTCAACATATGTCACTGAAGTAGAAAACAGTCATTGGGATGTTGCACAAAGGCTAATAACTATAGACTGTTGGATACAGTGGTGAGAGGAGCCCCGTTTTAGGTCTTTCTTTTAGGTTTTTGGTTTTTATTACTCCAAGTAATCCTTGACCCATGGACAAAGGTTTATTGTATGAGTTCCACTGCCAGATTTATGGGATGCCCAGATCATTCAGAAGGATGCTTCAACTATTATTTGTCAGGTCCAAAGGTCGTACTTGATAACCCCATTTTCTATGCATGGGGTAGTCTAATATATTATTTTATCTACTTTATTTTCCCCTTTCAGAAAGTCCTTAGTGCAAACTACCATGGGAATCTAGCCAGAAATGTCTGTCGGATAGTTAGAATTGTAACATCTAAACCTGCCACGGATCAAATGGTACTTACAGGTACCTCTATTAGGGACTCTGTGATACCTAAAATATCAAAAGAAAATGTCTGTCTTTCTGTCCGAATATCTACTTGACTTGGGGTAAGTCACAAATAAAAGTGGGCGTCCAAGGATTTTGCTTTTGGCGAAATCTGATGTGTCCTGAGCTTATTTTCATTTTGTCCTTGGACACAGCATAGTGCTTCCCTAATGTTTCTACATATGACCATGAATAATAGTGTCTCTACATTTAATTTAAAGGTCTAATGGTGACCTTTTGCTTATCTGAGTCACATTTCGGTAACATATCATCATTTTGAAAGTACGGCTATGATGTGCTATATTAAATAGGAACAGCCTTTCAGTGGATGGGGATTTTATTACCACAGTCTCTCCATAGTCATTTCAAAATCAAATTGTTGGTGGGAGGATGGATTAGGTTGTGAGTAATCAACTTCCATATATCAGCCTCAGAAATGGAACTATCCTTTGGATGTTACAGGAGACACTGCAGCAGATTGTTTCCAGAAGCTGGAAAAATATGCTCCAGGAGAATTTAATCACTGGGCTTTTGCTGGGGGATTTTTAGTTGGTGGGACTGTCAAGGAAATGTGATGACAGAAATATAATCCTTAAAGCAAACTGGAATCTGGCTTTGAATGGCATCTTCCATTCCCTGGATTGGGCCAAATGTTTGGCCAGTCAGTTATCTAGCTGTTACTGCTGGGATGAAGAACTCTGTTTTCATCAACTACTGTCTCACATTTCTCTGTAAATACTTCCAAGTAGCCCAGAGAAAATTTAGGGTACAGGTGGCTATGGGCCAATTTCTAAATAGCTCCTATTGAAGACATAAATCTGTGGTATGGAAAATGATGAGTTAGTACTATAAGATTCCTGATGAATTTGGAAATTGTTTCAAACCAAAAAAAAAAAAAAAAAAAAGCTTTAGAGTCCTGTGTTATTCATGGAGACCAATATTTGATATATCGCTTTGAAAAAAGCAAGTACCACTAGGACTTGGGATTTCCAAATTAAAGTGAGCAGAATAACCACACATTTAATGGCTTCAACATTAAACCGCCTCCTGTAGCATGTTTTAAAAATTGGTCCTGGGCTTTAAAAAGAGCTAAGGCCTTATGGTCTAGGAGTTTCCATCTCAGCTTAAGTATACTGTATCCCTACTAATAGGCTATCAGGAAGTAGAAAAGTAAGTGATCTAGTCCTGGTCTGAAGAGCCACGTAACTTTAACAGAGATAAAAGTATGCACCTATAGAAATGTCATTTCTACAAAGCCTACTGAGACAGCACTGAAGAGGCAGCTAGCTTGGCTGACTCCTCTGTGTTTGTTTCTTTGTGTCATGGTACTGACTGCTTCGAGATTCCATTTTTAGATGAGGTTGATAGAGGAATGGAAAATGAAGAGTTATTAAAAGACAACATTCTATAACCTGAAAGGTAGTCATCTTTGCAAGCTTATATTTTAATATTGGGCATTTAACAAAATAGAACACAGTCATATTCAAGGACTTCATAAAGAATAAGAGAGAAGATTAGTAAGCCAAGAATGAAATAAATACCATGACAGGAATTTTGCTTTCAGAGTTTATGTTTCCTCTGTAGATGTGATAACCAAAGACCAATGCAAGTTTTGAAACAGAATTTAGCTGGCAAATGGACAGTGATGGAAATTAGTAATGACTGATGGAAAGCCGTACATACCTGTTGCTCCATATCCTTTCAGAATGGCCACTTTGGCAGATCTACCTGCGCTAGGAGCTCCTCAACATCACTTCATTTTCATTTGGACCTCGTGAGAGTCCCTTTGCCTAACAAATATCTGAAATTTATTTATTTACTAGAACCCTCATAATATTCATGACTTAAAAAACATAACACAGCATCTTTATTTTTATTACATGTCAATTTTATTAATAATAATTAGGGGTTTTTTAGTTGTAAAAATGGCACATGCTTTTTATAAAATGTTTTAATACCACAGATGAGTATCACATCCACCGTCAAGGCATCCCTTTGTTCTGGTGTTGTGTCCCACTTCCCAAAAATAAATGCTGATGAATACTGTTGCTTGTACATGATGTCAGAAATACTCCATCCATTCATACACAAGCATGTATGTATATATGCGTATACATTTACACACATATGTAGACATTTATTTATATACACATACAAGTATGTATACTATATTCATGTATATTGCATAGGTTTAGAAAAGAGCAAACATTTTAAAAGCATGCTGATCATTTGTATATGTGTAGTGAACACCAACAGGCAAAGACAGGTTAAACAGAGAATTTCCATTTTTTTTTTGTTTGTTTCCACCATTGCTAGGCTTAGATCTGTCTTGGCATTACTACAATTGCACTTGCCATTTTCTATTACCTGTGTCATAAAATTCATGACCAAGAGTTCCTGTAATTGTTTATGTTGCCTTCTTTGAAGCATAAAACCTACCATAGCCCCAAGACTTATCTATGCTAAGTTTGGATTTCAAGTAAAGGAGAGTTCTTTCCTCTGTGATGCTTACACCACTTTACAAGGCTGTTTGTAACACTAACACTCAGTAGGTTGCCTAATGATATTTAATTAGGGCAGGCTACTGCCAGGAAGGTGTAGTAACTTCAGTGTAGCATGGGGTCTGAGCAGCTTGTCTTCCTTCCAGAAGGAGTAGCTAATGAAATCACTGAGAACAGCATGATATTTTATTCAATGATGCTATTTTAAAATGGGACTTTGTTAAAAGGGCTCATCATAACCATCAAATAAAACTACTAATTGCTCTATTTAAATGAATTATGTTCATTTTAGGAAAAGAAGCAGAAAAACATCTAATAAATTAGCCTTCTGATTAATCTTTAACACTTATTTAATATAAAATGGCTTCTGCCTGCATCTTAATTGAACCACCTTTGAATCTCTCAACTCCTTTCACTCTGAATCTCATACTCAGCTGATTAGAAGTCCTACAGGCCCTTCTCTGCCAGATCTCTCAGATCGACTTGGACCCTACCCTTTTCTGTGTCCCAGTCATCCTTCATCTCTTGTCTCTCTAATTTTTGGGCCATAGCAACAGTCCTGCCCCTGGACTTTCTGCCTACTACTGTCCATAATTTTGTCACACAGCTGCAAAAATCTTCCCCAGATATTATGCTCAAAATAGATCAAAATGAAATTACCCTCTGGGACAAGTATACCTTTACTTAAAGGACATATACATGTCCACTGACCTTGATCATCTTATAGAATTACGGCAAGCATGATTCTGAAAATCTATCAGGTTTAGCAAATATCTGTCTTAGTCACATGAGGGTACACAACCATGGCTGCTGCGTCCACATTCAACAATGTAAGCCACATGCCTCTTTGACGGCACTTGGAGGACTAGGTTATATATTTGACACTTCTGAGGGCTATCTGTGGATTTCACACTGTCTTCTCACAGCTTAATGAGAAACCTGGAAATAAGAACCAAGAAAAGAGTCATGCCCTTGGACAACCTGCTCTCCCAGGACACTGAGATTTACTGACCAGGTCCCAGAAAGAAAGCAGAAAAAAATAATTCTTAGGCTCTTGTAGCATAGATTTTAAAGTAGAAATGTGAAAATTGGTATCTTCATAATGCATAGACTCCAGAGTCTATTTACTTTTGTATTCAGTTATGCATGTAATCATATGTCCATGAATCAGTCATATGTGCATGTATTTAATCATTATTTGAAAAATATTTGTCACTCTGATGCAGGCATCATACTAAGGATATAACAATGAATGCAATAGACAAAACTCTTGATTTCATGAAGCTGGCATCTAGAAGAAAAGACAAATTCCCATGTGATAAGTGCAGTGCAGGAGAACCCCAGGGTGTCCAGCATGGGCTGGAAATTCAACCAAGGCTTTATTGTACCAGCCACTCATTAGCCAGCAATGATTTTGTTCAATGAAAACATAAGTAGGAAGATAATAATATTTTGCATTTCCATTTTATTGGAGTCATAGTAGATTTCTAAAAATGTATCTGAAACTAAGATTTTAAAACAAGACTTAGAAACACTATTAAAATGAAAGCTAAGACTCATTTATTCTAGCTTTCAGGATAGAAATAGGAAAAATAAGCAGTTTTCAATGGGTTTTGACGAAATATAAAGAAGATGAAGTATAAATAATATGTAATAGTGGAGTGGATATCACAGTGTTGTAAACTTTCAGCCTCTGGTAGCATTTAAACAGAGGATACCTGACCATTCTGAGGGCTGTTGTGATTAGGAATATGTGATTTGAGAGGGCTGAAATTAGATGCTGTGATTTTTCAAAAGAAATTTTTTAGTGGGTTTGTTGAATGCAGGATTTTATTTAAAAAACTTAACGAAAATCTTGATTTTTGATTTGTTAATCATTGCTTTGTAACTGAGAATTTTTAAAATATCCAGGGGAATGGCATTAGTTATCAATTTTAAAAATTTTAAGCATGAATTTAAGAGCTAGTGAAAAGAAAACATACTAAAAGGTGTAATTTAATTAAAAATACTTCTGGAAGCTTATAAATTTTGATCAGTATTCTTAGTCATTATCAAGTAAAATTCTATTAGAAATCTGTCTTACTGTCCATCCAATATAAAAAAAGTGCTGTGGTTTGATATTATAAGAGTTAAGTGTAATCTAATATAACTACAGACGAAAATTCTGCCTGTAAGATATTTGGGAGCCAAGTAAATGTACATGAAAGGCAATCATGGAAAACTCCTTGGCTTCTACCACCAGCGTGGCAGCCACAAGGGAGGTCCCTACCAATGTAAATAAGAAAATAGTGATCCAAGTTTTCACCCAACTTTTGAAATTTCAATATTTTGAGCCAAATGCCTTCTGAAATGGGAGGCTTTGATAGTGGAAATACTGAAATTATCTTTTTCCTCAAACCTTTAGTGAAACACACATATAGTTTTCACTCTATAACAGTTTAAACAACTCAAATCTATACTGTTTATTAAGAACAATTTCAAGAATTAAAAAGTGCTTTAGCATTATGATGTATTGACATGTTTGAGCTTCGGTTGGGGTTCAAAACAATGCCAAGTAGGTGAATAATGCAGATAAGACATTTTAGATGAATAAACTGAATCTCAGAGCAGTGAATTCAGCCTGTGCAGCTTCATATAGCAAATGATAGTGCTGCAGCCGGAACTGGGTCTTTAGAAATTACGTATTAACATGTTTTCTAAGTAAGTC